TCAAGTGTGCTTTTGAGTTCAGGGCTCCTAGATTGTCATATATAATCTATTCACTTGTTTTTTTGACTACAGGAAGCATCTGACTAGTCTGCCATCTTGGCCTCACCCTGACAATTTTTTTTAAACAAGATACAAACTGAAGAGGGGGTGAAACCTCTAATGCAGAGCCCAGAACACCTCTTGCTGTAGTAAGGACTCACACACTATATATATTAGTCTGAGCATCCAATGGGGGTAAACCCCTTCTCTCAGGGACTCTCATTAGGATCCAGTCTCCTCAGAGAAAGGAGGTTCAAATATGGTCTTCAGAACTCCTTTCCCTGATTCCTCTATTAATTATAGGTATGCAAATGAACACTTATATCTGACCAAGACCTGTGTCATCACTCTGCTTACTCTTCTTCAGGATAGTGCCTACTTCCTGGTAGTTCTTGGTACTCATATCTTGAGTCCTATTATGGCCATATAGCATGACATAATAAGCTGTTCCTTTAGCTTCATTTCTTGGCACTTCTTGACTCCTACTCTATGTTCAAGTTATGTACTACCTACAATTTCCTGAATATACACTGGGCTGTCTTACCTTTCCTGCCATTACTTCTGCTGTTACCTCACCTTCCTATTTTCTCCCGTCTTCTGCTCTGAACCCAATGGTTCACTCCCTTGGCAACTTGTGCTTTCATCTTATAATCTGTGTCCTGTAATTTTCTGTTTACATGTCAGGGTCCCCAAGATCAGGAGTTGCTGGACAGCAGGGACCAGGGGTCATTGATCCCAGAATTCACAGAAGTTGACCTACGGTACAAGCTTAATAAATGTTAGTTGCATGAATGAACTAAACTGAGAGCAGGAACCATGTCTTATTCATCCTTGTAGTCACTTCAACACCTAGCACAGGGTAAGCAATCATAAGTCTGTTGACTGTAGGCAGGAACTGAATTATACCCATATGTGGATAAGACAAGGAAGTAACCTATCTCATTTATACCCCAAACATTCAGGTTTTCAGTCCCTTCCCCTCCAGATCTGATGTGATTTTTCTGAGGAGCCAGATGCAGTCCCCGTGGAAGTCCAGGTTTTGGGGACTACACTCATTCTAGGAGAGGGGTCCTGGTACCATATTATTCATGCATACCCCTATTAGAGAACCTTGACTTGTAACCTTTAAAAATATCCAGACACCATTTCACTGAGCTCCAGTGGGGCAAAAAGCCCTTATTTGAGTCTTTTGAGTGAAGACACAGCCATAGAGAAAATACACCATGATCATCCGTTTTCTATAGTCCCAAAGGACCCTGTGTTTCTTGCCTTCTTAGAAATCATCCTACAGCATCCTAATTCCTGATTTATTTGTCTCCCTTACCATGAGCTCCTCGGAACTCTAGAACCTAAGTGACTACTGAGTGGGGGCTCAGAAAATATAGACATATTGGACATTGCTGCTCAGAAGCTCTACTGTATGGACAGTGACTACATGGCAGCTTTCCTCTCCACCAGCTGATTGGAACACGCATGGATAACTGGCCAGGAAAAAGTGACTTGTGAGGCCTGCTTTAAAAGGATGATCTGGGTGGAATTTTAGAATTAGGATAGAGAGGGGGTTAGAAGGAAGCCAAAAGGTCACTAGATGTAAGAGCTGATGCTGACATTTTGAGTCATGTGCAAATTTAACTATTAGCAAAGGAGGCAAATCATCCGTGAGGAGATGGGAAAAAAAGCAGAAACAGGAGCCCATATGGTGGTGTTGACAGTGGCAAGAGATGGGGGATGAGGGGAGAGGGAGAAAACAAACATGCATCCTTGGCTGCTGATGGTTCCCTGTTCCCATGTAATTTTTTGGTGATGTAATGTTTTTCCACTAATGGAATGCATGCTGAATTGCTGAGTGTTCATATTTTGTTATGTAATATATATTTTTATTATGTGGTACACATATATACCAGTGAATTCTGGAGGTAAGATAGGTGGAATGAGGCAGGGAAAAATTTTTTTCTTATCAATTTTTTTTGTTGAGTGGAACTTCTGAAAACATGGGGTAACACATAAAGATACCCTGCATCATTGTGTAACTGCCATTACAATTGATTGGCTGATCACATCGTGGAGAATGATTACATCATTGCATCATGGCTAAACTACATAATTACATAATTGCCAAACCACTGTGAATCATGGTCCAGCAAACTGGACACAAACTGAACCATCACAACAGGATAATACAAATACCATACCTCCAATCCAGTATGAGAATCCACAAGGAGAGACCTTGCATAATGCCAGCCTCCTGTAAAACTAAAGCCCCAAAAGGAAGTGCTGTCTTGGGAACATTACCACTGCAATACGTTGCCTATTACTGCAAAACAAGTACTTACAGCTCAGAAACTACATCGAGGATGCTACGTGTGCTTACACCGTATTTCTCCTAAAAATGTTTTTCACATGTATATTACTGTCATGGATTGAATTGTGTCCCCCTAAAACATCTGTCAACTTGGCTGGGTCATGATTCCCTGTATTGTATAATTGCGTACCGTTTTGTAATCTGATGTGATTTCCTTATGTGTTGTAAATTCAATCACTATGATCTAATAAGATGGATTAGTGGCAGTTATACTGATGAGGTATACAAGATTGGATAGTGTCTTGAGCCAATTTCTTTTGAGATATAAAAGAGAGAAGCGAGCAGAGACACCTGGGAACCTCATACCACCAAGAAAGCAGTGCTGGGAGTAGAGCACATCCTTTGGACCTGAGGTTCCTGCACAGAGAAACTCCCAGACCAAGGGAAGACTGATGACACGGACGCTCCTCCAGAGCCAGCAGAGAAAGTGTTCCTTGGAGCTGATGCCCTGAATTTGGACTTGTAGCCTACTGGACTGTGAGAGAATAAACTTCTCTTTGTTAAAGCCATCCACCTGTGGTATTTCTATTAGAGCAGCACTAGATGACTAAGACAGAATTTGGTACCAGGAGTGGGGTGCTGCTCTAGCAGATACCTAAAATGTGGAAGCAGTTTTGAAACTGTGAATGGATAGGGGAGCAGCAGCGGCAGAGGAGCAGCAGCAGCAGAGAACATGCAGCAGCATAGAAGGGGCAGCAGCAGAGAACCAGCAGCAGCAGAACCAGGAGACCAGCAAGAGGTGCCGACCCATGGAGCGAGAGAGCTGAGTGCCTGTGCACTGGAGGCTTCCTGGTGGAGTCGGGTGCCTCTGGGCACTTACCGGTGGAATTAGGCTTGCTGACCCACAGAGCGAGGGAACTGAGTGCCTGGGTGCAGGAGGCTTCCTGGCGGAGTGGGGTGTCTCCAGGCACTTACCAGTGGCGCTACCAAGCTTTGGAACACTTGCCCCAGTAGGGCAGATGCGGGTGAGGCCTGAGGACTGAGAGGCCGCAGGAAGAAGAAGCTGAAGAGACAAGGAACACAAGAAGCTGAGCTGCTTCATTCACAAAAGGTATGGCCATGACCTCAGGGGTTTAAAAGGGTTGAGCCATGGCCTCTGGTGTTTCTAAGGGTGGAGTTGTAACTCTGATGGACTAGGAGGATGGTGCAGCTAAAGCTGAGGGAGCAGAGTTGCCGTCCCTGTAGGCATGGAAGGTGGAGCTGAAGCCCAGGGCCGAGGGGCCTCCACTCAGAATCCAGAGACTGTGGCCAATACCTAGAGTCTGGAGGGCAGGGCTATTGTATAAATTGTTTCAGTGAACAGAAGATTATTTTCAAAGCCTTGAGGGCTAACGTAATGTGTTCTGCTGGCTTGCTTGGTGCCTGTTATCCCTTCTCCTCCTCCAGTTTCTCCCATTTGTAATGGAAATGTCTAGCTTGTGCCTCTTCTGCCACTGTACCTTTGGAAACAGATAACTTGTATTCTAGATTTCACAGATGAATAGGAATTTTTGGATTTTGGACTTGTAGTTAAGACTTTTGCTGTGATATGATGAGTATGTTTTGCATGTTGCAAGGACATGAATTTTGGGGGCAAAAGGGTGGCGTGTCATGGATTGAGTTGTGTCTCCCCAAAATATATGTCAACTTGGCTGGGTCATGATTCCCAGTATTGTATAATTTGTACCATTTCATAATCAGATGTGATTTCCTTATGTGTTGTAAATTCAATCAGTATGATCTAATATGATGGATTAGTGGTAGTTACACTGATGAGGTATACAAGATTGGATAGTGTCTTGCACCAATTTCTTTTGAGATCTAAAAGAGAGAAGCGAGCAGAGACACACGGGAACCAAGAAAGCAGTGCCAGGAGCAGAGCATGTCCTTTGTACCTGAGACTCCTGCACAGAGAAGTTCCCAGACCAAGGGAAGATTGATGACATGGACCTTCTTCCAGAGCCACCAGAGAAAGCATTCCCTTGGAGCTGATGCCCTGAATTTGGACTTGTAGTCTACTGGACTGTGAAAGAATAAACTTCTCTTTGTTAAAGCCATCCACTTGTGGTAGTTTTCTTAGAGCAGTACTAGATGATTAACCTAATTACCTAATCCCCAAAACCTCACCTATCCAATAACACAAAGAAAACCATAAATATCCTTACAAGGCTTATCTTGTTGTTCAGAATTCCAAACAGCCAAAAAATGTACTTGGTACTTGTACCTGTGTACGTGAAGTATGTCAAGGATGCGTGTTTACAGTACACCTAGCCTGAAAATAACTTATGCACTTGAATATTACCCAGTGCCGGAAACTGCACCCTCCCAATAACACAAAGGAAACGGTAAATGTACTTACAAGCCTTATGTCACTGTACAGAGGGAAAAAGAGACAAAAGCTACTCACAGTCACTCATCCTGGCTGTAGCACCTCCTGCAATAACCTCTCAGCACATGACACTGACGAACTTCCTTCCAGTTTATACAGTTACAGAATTCTCTGCCCTGATGCCAGCACATATTAAAAATGTTACAAAAGCATACCTATGAACCCCAGAGGCAGAAAATGAGACTGGTACTTATATATACCAGTATTCATGAAAGGAACTTTCTCCGCTGCTTCCTGCAAATGTTTCTTCTTCCGTTCCCATCATTTCTTGATTCCTACAGCATCTACCTATGCTCTGAATTCTGTTCTCCTACTGTGAACTGAACGCCCACCTCTTTCCTGCACCTTCAGATTCTCCCACTTGTCTCCTTTTCAATTATAAACATGTTCAATTCTCTATCTTAAAACACTGTCTCTGGCAGACAATTGTTTGGCTAAATCAATACCATTCTAAAACCTGCTTTTCTTTGCCTATCTCCACTACTGAGGCTGGGAGAGCTAAATACTTATTTTCTCTGCCTCCCTTGCTACTGAGGATGGCCATGTAAAATAGTTATGGACAATGAGCTGTAAGCAGAAGTCTGCCAGGGTGCTTCTGGGAAAACTTCTAACTAAAGGCCCAGATGTTGCCAGTGATATCCACACTCCTTTCTGCCTCAAATGCAGATGTTTTACTTGGCACTATGAGAGCCATCATTGTCATGATATTCAAGGTATTGATATGATCCTCTCTCTGAACCAATGCTAACAACTCCCAGACTTGTTACGTAAGAAAAATAAATCCCTGTTTGTTTAAGCCATTGTTAACTGGGCTTTCTATTATTTGTAGCCAAAAGTTATTCTGCTTTATACACCCTCTCTAACTCCCATCTAGCTATCTTCCCTTTTTCAATAAAGCCACTAAGTCCTTTTCCACCTTTAGTTCAGTTTTCAACCCACTGAAATTTACAGAAGCTATCAATAAAACCAATGGACGTATTTCTATATTTTACTTAATCCCTCCATAGCATCTGACAATATTAATTACCCCATCCCTATGTTAAAATTCTCTTCCTTATACTTATGTGACACTACCTTTTTCTGATTTTTCTTTTTTTGATTGTTGTTTCGTCTCAGCTTCTGCTGATTACTGTGCCTCCACTTACCCCATTCAGTGAAGTACCATCAAAAACAAAACAAAACCCCTTTGCCATCGAGTTGATTCTGACTTATTACTTACCTTCTACTTATTCTACTGCCTACCAGGAATCTTTGCCTGTATGTTTCACAGACTCATCCAAATGCCCTAAAACTAAACTCATCATTGCCCCATAAAATTGGTTAACTTTTCTGTATCTTTTAATTATGATTCCACTATCCACCTGAATAAGAATTTCAAGACATTGGAGACTCTTCTTTCTCACCCAACTGCCTACATTTAACCAGTTACCAAGTTACATAGATTCTGACTCATTATCACTTGAATTCTTCCTTTCCTGTCCCATCCCATTTTCTTAGTTTAGCCCTTGATAACAGAAAATATGTCCTATTCATTTTAATATTTCTGGTGCCTAACATCCTATGTAGCACGTTTAGCACTCAATAAAAGTATATGAAAATACATATCTACTGTCATAACTATAAAACTACCTGTAAAAACCTACAAAATTTCCTATGATTGTGTTTGAATATGTTTTGAGTTGCAAAGATTTTGTTAACATTATGTCAAATTTCTGGGTCTATTAGTGTTCAGCCTCTCTCTCCCCTCCCCTTTCCACTTTCAGACTCAGAATATAACACGAGGATATATATTTGATTCCCATGTACTTAAAAACTATACTTAAGTTATACTGTTTTCTAAATAATCGGCTTATTTAACAACAGTTTAATGACTATCAATTGAGAACTCAAAACAGCACGCTATCTCATTAAGATCTGTACAGTTATTCCATCACCTGGTAGGAGCCAGGAAAAGATATTTTAGGGGAAAAGATAATAATAATGGTGGAGGTAGGGAAATAAAGGGAGGATGGGATCAGTACAGGTAGAGAATTTTGACTTGGAACGTCCAAGGAAACCAAGTTTAGAATAAAAGCATCTAGACTATATCATATGTAACATGGTAAAAGATCAAGGATTTCCTGTTATTCACTATATTTATAGACTTTTAGCATTTTAGGTCCTTGGGGACGTTCTAAATCCAAATTCTTCACGTACCTGATGAGGAAACTGAGATGATAAGAGTTAAGAGTAGGTGACTTGTTCAAATTAGTGGCAGATTAGGGACCAGATCCTACGTCTTTTGACTGTCAAGTTCTCTCATATTTTTTTCTCCAGTGTGAAGTCTCTGATGTTCAAAGTAGAATAAATTAAACCTAAACATTTCTTAAGTATGATACAATAATAGAATTTATATTCAGCATGAATCCTCTTTGTTTAGAATATGAGCTACTTGAACCTTCTGATCTACAGTAAGTTTTACCATTTCTCTCCATTTTTATATGGTTTCTCTCTGTATTGTCTGATACTACAACTATTTTCACAATTGTTACATTTATTAGGCCTCCACATTATATGACTTATTATTACTGTAAGAGTTAATCATGGTGAAGGGTTGTTCCAAATTCATTCCGGTGACACAATTTTTCTCACGTATGAGTTCTTCGATGTCGTGTAAGGTTTGTACTCCGACTGAAAGCTTTTCCACATTCATTACACTGATAGGGTTTCTCTCCTGTATGAGTTCTCTGATGCACTATAAGGGATGAATTTTTAATGAAGGCTTTTCCACACTGATCACATTCATAGGGTTTCTCACCAGTATGAATTCTTTGATGCTCAATAAGATATGCACTCTGGCTGAAGGCTTTTCCACATTCATTGCATTCATAAGGTTTCTCTCCAGTATGAATAACCTGATGTACAGTTAGGGATGATCGGCCAGTGAAATGTTTTCCACATACTATACACTCATAAGGTTTCTCTCCAGTATGAATTCTCCTATGTTGAGTAAGAGATGAGTTCTTACTGAAAGCTTTTCCACACTGATTACATTCAAATGGTTTTACTCCAGAATGAAGTCTCTGATGTTCTATAAGGTATGTACTTTGGCTAAAGGATTTCCCACATTTGTTACATTTATAGGGCTTCTCTCCAGTGTGATTTCGCTGATGCAGGGTAAGAGTTGAGCTCTTACTAAAGGCTTTTCCACATTCACCACACTCATAGGGTTTCTCTCCAGTATGACTTCTCTGATGTATGATAAGATGCATGCTCTGACTGAAGGCTTTTCCACATTCATTACATTCATAGGGCTTTTCTCCTGTGTGAGTTCTCTGGTGCACTGTAAGATTCATGCTTTGGGTAAATGCTTTACCACATTCATTACATTTGTAGGGCTTTTCTCCAGTATGAATCCTTTCATGTTGAATCAGGGATGAGTTCTTATGGAAGGCTTTTCCACATTCTTTACACTGATAGGGTTTCTCTCCAGTATGAGTTCTTTGATGAACAGTAAGGTTCATGCTCTGACTGAAGGCTTTTCCACATTCATTACACTTGTAGGGTTTCTCCCCAGTATGAATTCTTTGATGTACAGTAAGGGAGGAACTTTCAATGAAGTGCTTTCCACACACATTACACTTATGTGGTTTCTCACCAGTATGAATCCTCTGGTGCTTAAGAAGGGATGAACTCTGGCTGAAGGCTTTCCCACACTCATTACACTCATAGAGTTTCTTCACTACAAACATTCTTTGACTTTTAATTAATTCAGAATTTTGTTTGGCATCTTCTCCATAGAAATTCCAATTGTGGGGCTTCTTGCCCATAGGAATACTGTGTTGTGTATCAAGGAGTGAACCCTGACTGGAATATCTTTCAAATTCACTACTTCCACAGACCCTCCTCTCAGAGAGGGTTTCCTTATGAGTAACTGCCACTTGGCCCAAATGTCTATCTTGGTTTTTTGGTGGCCCTTTTAACCAATTATCAGGTTTCCAGGTTTCCCCTAAAGTGGAATGCCAGAGACCTTCCCTTTCCATTATTACCTCATGGGAAAAATCTTCAGTAATGTTGGGCTTTGGAGTTGACTCTTTGGTTTCAAGTCTTGTCTCCCAGTCTGAAAAAGAAATTACAACAACGAAAAAATCAATGCACACTGGTTTCTGTGCTGGGAGACTGAAAACTGTAATAAGACGTGAATGAGAAAATGAAAGTGAGAATAACTACAGGGCACATTTGAGGGTTTTCAAAGATGTCCATACTATTAGGAAGAAAAAGGGAGGGAAAGAATAGTGAACCTGCCCATTAGCTAATAGGGAAGCTAGAAGCAGGGAGTAGCAGATACAACATGTAAACAGAGAAAGAAGAGAGCCCATTCAGGAAGAATGGACAGTGAAATGAGCAACCATGGGGTTAGGCTAAATAATGCAGATGGAAAATATACAGAAGATATGGGGCTGGGAGAGACAGATCAGAAAGCTTTGCCATGTACTTGATGTTCCTACTACCAGTTAGTTTCTTCCAAGACTTCCTATAACCCTGACACCAAATTAATCTTTTTAAAACATTACAGTGTAGCACAGTGAAAGAAATGTTGACCCTAGAGTTAGACAGACTTGGGTTCAAATCCTGGCTTTAACAGTTACCACCTGAATTAGTACTTGTTTCTCTGTGCTCAAGCTTTCACATATATAAAATGAGGATAATAATCTGATAAAATTTGAGATAATATAAATAAATTACCCTTTGAGAACATACTTGGATCATACAATACCAGAACATACTTGGTACTTAAAAATGCTAATTATTATGTCTGCATCACTGGTTGTCTTTCCTTCCTCCATCACTTGCAGTCAAAAAGCTCAAATATGTTTAGCTGCAGCTATTCTGGCACAGAGCCTGAGGCAGGCAGTGTAGTGTAAACAGAAGTTCAGTTTATGGAGTCACCATGGGTTCATATCCTAGTTCTGACATTTACTAGCTACTTAGAGCAAGTTAATTAATGTCTTTGAACCTATTTCTTCATCTTTATAAAGAGGGAAATAATGGTTGCTGTGGAACATAAATGTAAATACATGTGAAGACTGAGTATTGGCATGCATATAGTAAGTGACTAACAAATGTAAGCTTTATAATTATAGAGTTTATGGGCTCAGGCACATCCATAGTCATTAGGAATAATAAAAGAGGTTTAGGATCCCTTATCCAAGGCTCAGTCTGACTTCTTTTCAAATCTTCCTACGATCTGCCCACTAAGATCTATAGCCTGACCACCTGGTTCCCAAATATTTTGATCCGTGTTTGCTTGTTCAGTACTTATGAACTAGCTCTGATTTCCCTACCTGTGCAGACTGTAATCCTAAATTTTCTGTACAATTGTCAACTCTCTTTTAGTCCTTGCCTATAGAAGGCAAACACTGTTTTCCATACTCTGACCAAAGTGTTATTCCTCATGATCAAAATTTTGCAACGATTCCCATATAACTACTATAAACCTACTTTCTATTAATATTATTCACCAACGAAGAGGCCCTGTTACAATTAGCTCAGCCTCCCAAATGTCCCCCCAGTAGGCTATAAACTCCTTTGTATCAATTATTAAACATTTCAGGGGCCAGCTCAAGCCATATAATTGTTAAAAACGTTCTTGACTACAGATTATTAACTTCTCTGTCTCTGAATATCTCAAACACATCACATACAAAACAAAACGAAAAAAACAAACCCACTGCTGTTGAGTTGACTCTGACTCATAGAGACCCTATAGGACACAGTAGAACTGTTCCACAGGGTTTCCAAGGCTGTAATCTTTACAGAAACAGACTGTCACATCTTTCTCCCACAGAGCAGCTGGTGAGTTTGAACCACCGAACCTTTGGTTAGCAGCCAAGCACTTAACCACTGTGCCACCATCACATATAATACCTCATTTAATCATCAAGATAATCCTGTGAGGTTGGTAGTATTAACCCTTTCTCAAATAGGAAACTAAGGCTTAGCAAAGCAAATCTGCCCAAGGACATACAACTCACAGTGATAGAACCAGAATCACACCCATGCTCAGCTGATGATGCTTCTTTTACTACACCACTATGTCTCTTCAACATAAAGAAAACAAAAATCCTCACAACTGGGCCAATAAGCAACATCACGATAAATGGAAAAAACATTGAAGTTGTCAAGGATTTCATTTTACTTGGATCCGTAGTCAATGCCCATGGAAGCAGCAGCCAAGAAATCAAACGACACACTGCATTGGGCAAATCTGCTGCAAAAGACCTCTTTAAAGTGTTAAAAAGTAAAGATGTCACTTTGAGGACTAAAGTGTGCCTGACCCAAGCCATGGTGTTTTCAATCACCTCATATGCATGCAAAAGCTGGACAATGAATAAGGAAGACTGAAGAAGAATGGACCCCTCTGAACTATGGTGATGGCAAAGAATATTGAATATACCATGGGATGCTGGAAGAATGAACATATATGTCTTGGAAGAAGTACAACCAGAATGCTCCTTAAAGGCAAGGATTGTGAGACTTCATCTCACATACTTTGGACAAGTTATCAGGAGGGACCAGTCCCTGGAAAAGGACATCATGCTTGGTAAAGCAGAAGGTCAGTGAAAAAGAGGAAGACCCTCAAGGAGATGGATTGACACAGTGGCTGCAACAATGGGCTCATGCATAACAATTGTTAGGATGGCGCAGGACTGGGCAATCTTTTGTTCTGTTGTACATAGCATCGCTATGAGTTGGAACCAACTTGACGGCACCTAACAACAAAAAAACATGTCTCTTTGGCACTTAAATAATATGCAGATTTGCAGCATTGTAACTTGTCCAGATATAAGTATAAATGGCTCAACATTTCATTTGGCTATGGCTTATCTTCATTATTTTTCTCTAACATAAGCATAATTTTTTTATGAACTATTTTTAAAAATAAATATTATAAAAATAACTTGTGCATGGAAACAACTTAAGTCAACAAAGTATTATAAAGTGAAAAACTCTCCAGTGCCCAAAGGTAAACACTTTTAACAGATTCTTGTATACAATTCTGAAAATTTTCTATGCATAAGTGTCTAAACACTTATCTCACATCCTCACAGAAAATGTCACACAATCTCACACTCATATATGAAATATAATTTTATAAGTCCCTTTTAAAAAATCACAATTGGAACTATATTAGGCCTACTATTCAGGGACCCTTGGTTGAGGAATGGTTAAAGTGCTGGGCTGCTAACCGAAAAGTCAGAGGATCGAACCCACCAGCAGCTCCATGGGAGAAAAGACCTGGCAATCTGCTCCCATAAAGATTTACAGCCTAGTAAACCCTATGGGGGCAGTTCTACTCTGTCCTATAGGGCTGCTATGAATCGGAATTGACTCGATGGCACAGAACAACAACATTTTGGAGAGGCAGTGGTGGTTCAGTGGTAGAATTATCACCTTCCATGTGGGAGACCTGGGTTCAATTCCTGACAAATGCTCCTCAAGCCACCACTTGTCTGTCAGTGGAAGCTTGTGTGTTGCTATGATCCAGAACAGGTTTCAGTGGAGCTTCCAGACTAAAAGACTAGGAAGAAAGACCTGGTGATCCACTTCCAAAAATCAGCCAATGAAAACCCCATGATTCACAATGGTCTGATCCTGTGCTTGGGATTGCCATGAGTCAAGGGTTGACTGTATAGCAACTAGCAACAATGACAACTTCTGGAACTTCCTTTTAAAAAAAATTTTTTACACAAAAAAAGTACTGTGGCTATAATTCCATAAAGCTTTTAAAGCTACGTAACATTTCCCTGTTGGATTTTTAACTGATCCCCTAATCAGCGATCTTTAGGTTGTTTCTTGGTTTTGGTTCAGTTTTGTTTTTACTATTACAAACAATGGTGCGATGAACATACTTGTACATATATTTGCATAGTTGTTGGAGAATACCTGTAGGAGAAATTGTTAGAAGTGAAGCTACTGGATTAAAAAGTTTTGCATTTTTGAAACCTATGGCCAAATTTCCCTAAAAATTGTTGAATCAATTTTTCTTATCCCAAATGTTTACAAGAATACTTGATTACCTATACACTAAATAACTAATCTTTGCCAATGCATTGAAATGAACTAAAATAAAAAATACGCCTTATGTAATTAAACTAGGTAATAGTCACAATCTCATAATACAAATGAGATTTAATTTCTTAAGGGAGGATGACAAAATCTAAAAGCTTTTTCCACCTAACTTTAAACAAATTGTAAATTTCTCATGAAAGTAAGAGAATCCTAAGGGCTCTACCTTTCCCAAATATCCATTTCTTAAAGATGAGAACTGGTGGCAGGGGTGGCCAGTGAGAATCTGTTGAAATGCTTTGGAGAGGCCTGAAGGAGGGATCTATTAGCCACTCAGATTTGTTTTCTGAGATCTCTTTTCTTATCCCAGACAAAATGGTCTGGAAGCAATGAGGAGCAGAGGATAAGAAACTGCAATCAGTTTTACAACTACTGACCAGAGTCAACAGAGCAAGATCAACACTGTACCAACAAACCAAGGACTTGTGAGCCATGGGGCTTTACTGTGAAACAAAGAATATGCATTAACGGCAACCTTCTCCTTACAACTTGACCTGCTTACATAAAAAGAGAGAAAAAGTGGAAAGTCAGGCAGGCTCCACCTCTAAAACACACATACCACCAGATAACCCCAGAGAAACTATCTAATAGAGTGCAAAAATATCAATAGGCAACACATGAATTGGAGGCTGCCTCTTGCCACACCTCACTATCATCATATCCAGACATCCAACTCAAGTTATTTGGAAACATTTAAAGTGCTACCCAGTAAACAACATGGAGAACAAAGAAGAATCCACTCATAATGATCTTAGATACAAAGTCCAGACATAACTGCCTTAATTCAAAGATAAATGATACATTGAAAAGACCAAGTTTGGAAACCATGCAGTGGTTCAAGAAATACATTTCTTGAATAATAAAGACAGAATGAGAAGAGAAAAAAAATAAGACACGTTGGAAACACCTCTAATTACTAAAAGATATAAAGAAAGCTAAAAAAATAAGATAAAAGCTACATACTGGGAGGGGATATTTGCAACAATCTAA